GTGTATTCTTGCCTTTGCTCTCCCTCTCCTGTCTAACTCTCTGTCCTGTGATGGCACACTTGGTGTGTTTCTCTGGCTTGGGACTGTTCACTGGAACTCTAAAACTGCTTTCTATGCGAGAGCTTGTTCAGATTCCAGCTTCTCCTCCGCCATCTTCAAGGTCTCAGGTCTTATGTTGAGGTCTTTGATCCATTTTGAATCATTATCTCTGTTTTCTACATATGGATATCCAGGTTTCTCAACACAAATTTTGGGGAACTGTCTTTTTATCCAACACATATTTTTGGTTTCTTTGTCCAATATCAGATGGATGTGAGTGTATGGGTTTAATTCTGGATATTCTAGTCTATTCCATTGGGCTGAAGCATGAAGCTGTTTAGTTATTATAGTTCTGTAGGAATGTTTGAGGACTAAAATTATAATAACTTCAGCATTTGCGTTGTCTATTCATAACCTTTTGTGGTTCCATATAAATTTCTTTTTCTTTGTGAGACATTGAGAAATATCCACATTCCCTACCTTATTATTATTTTGTGGTGCTTGCTTCTTTCTTATTCCTTATTTTTCTTTCTACAATCTACTTGTCAGCCTTCAGGACTTGGCCAGGCTCAATAGTTGTCATCCTCCAATCTAGCTTTTGTCCTTCAGAGCCTGTCCTTGCCCAATTAAGTTGTTACCCTTCAGGGCCTGATCTGGCCTAAACTGGCCCAATAGTGTTATTTTTCAGTATGTGACCTTCCCTGGCTGGTACAACCAAGTTGTTGTTCTTGAGGACCTAGAAAGGTTTGGCCCAATAGAGCTGTTGATCTTCAGAGTCTAAAATGGCCCGGCCCAATTGAATTGCTGTCCTTTGGGGCCTTCCTACTCTGTCCTAGCCTACCCTAATCAAGTTGTTTTCCTTCATGTCCTACCTTGACCTACCCCAATAGATTTATTGACCTTCAGGGACTGAACTGGACTGGCACAAATAAGTGGGTATCATTCAGGACCTGGCCCAATCAATTTATGTTCTTTACAGCATCCAAATCCATATCACTCTTTTCAGTATCTCCTCCGTCCCTCGCAAGCCACCCTTATCCTTGTTTTCTTTGAAGATATCCATGGACGATTATGAAAGTATTCTCCTTCCCCATTCTTCTTTGTCTACTCCTCTACTCATTTTGAGTGGCTCCATATTTAACTTTCCTAATTGGAAGTTTCTTGTGTGCCCCTTTCATACCAACCCTCTGCTACTGAGATTTCTCATCTGGTACGAGACTGCTGCCTCAACCTCCAACATTTTGTTTTCCCTAATTGGAGAATCAGATCATGAGACAGAGTCTTGTCTAGCTTCTTTCCTTGGACATATGCTCAGTCATACATACACTTGACCACTGAAAAGCTCAGTTCTTTTTTTTCAAAACACTTTCTGTATATTTATTTTAAAGTGTACATGTAAGACAAACAGTTGAGAAAATATATAAAAATAATTTATGTTAATACAACCCCAGTATTTACATGGTCCCTTAAAAGATCTCATTTTATTGCCATCACATCCATAACTGCTCTCAAAAGTCAAGAATTTCAATATTTTCTAAGAAAAGTTTAGTATTCACGTACAGTAAAATAATAAAACTAGGAATGATACAAATAATATTTTAAAATGTAATCATGTTCCAACTATGCTATGCCATATGTCCTAAAAATAATCTTCACCTTATAATAATCCCAAGCAGTTGTTCTGTTTAAGAAAAAGCACAAAATCTTTTATACAAAAAATATATCATAAAAACTTATAAAGCTGAATTGCCAAAAAAGAAATCTGAGGTTCAATTTCACAATATCAAATTTTCATATGCACTATGTAAACATACTTTCACTATGGGCTATCAAATCAAAGCCAGTTATTACTATAAGAAGATATAGTATAAAATATTTCTTCAGTGCAAAAATCCATATCAACTTGTGTTATCAACTGACTTAAAACAATTTTAATAAAAATCATAACTTGAATCCCATAATATGAAGTAATTCTAACAAAGACTTTACATTAATTTAAAATAAAAATCTCTGCAACAGTAACCAAGTTTTCCTTTATTTACTATTCTCTAGAAAATGCTTTCTTTTGATTAGCTTTTACAATGTCATCAGGTGATGCTGATTTGAAATCAAATGGTGTTATTGCTACAAGAGGACTTATTTCCTTGTCCTTTCCATCTTCAAAAGTCTTATACAGGTCAAGGGCATGCCGCTTGCCGCTTTTCAGTGGGTAACGAAGACACAATGTTGAAGCAAAAGCTGATGGTCTAGCAGCAAGGCCTTTGGTCCAAGACAAAGAAAAAGGTGATTTCCTAGTCACACAGCCTTTATTGGTTTTCTTATCCTTAGCTGAATTGACATTTTTTCATAACTTTGAACTTAGAACTTTAGTTCCTGGTATTGGAGTAACAGATTGGTCAACTGTAGACTTTGGAACAAAATCTGAAAATTTTATCAGAACACTAAGGTCAATATTTGAATCAATTCCAGCAGGCCTTATTTCGATAAATTGAGATCAAAAGAATCTTTCTTAATCTGAGAGTTATGTACATCAATTGTTTCTGCAATCAAATCAGAAAGTGACAAATTCTCAAGGTCTCTTGAGGGAGAAGCTTTACAAAATACCAGTGACGACAGGGATCCTGTTAAGTCTCATATTCCAGTAGAAGACTGATTACGATTTGCTAGTTGTGATAGGGGAAAGGATCCCAAACTTAGATCTGGGAAACTGGCAGACTGGTTACAAAGATCAGATAAAGTATAGCACTGATTTGGGTTGTTTTCTTCATGTTTCTCAACCAGTTCAGTTAGGGATGGACTTCCATGCTGGGCAAGGTGTAAACTGTCATTTTTTAAACTGGAATTCTTGGTACTTGGTTCAACAAAAGAGACCTTTCCAACTTCAGTCTTTTCAACGAGATTTAAATTGCCAAGCGTCATATTTTCCAATGAGCTTGTTAAGTACAAAGGATTATTTAAAGTTCCCATGCTGTTTTCTGCTTGGTCGCTTTGGAAATCAAGTACTGAACTGTTTTTTTTTTTTTTTTTTGGTCCGGTCGTGGGGCCTGAACTCTGGGCCTGGACGCTGTCCCTCAGCTCTTCAGCTCAAGGCTAGCACTCTACCACTTGAGCCACAGCACAACTTCCGGCTTTTTTCTTTTTGCTTATGTGGGGCTGAGGAATCAAACCCAGGGCCTTGAGCATGCAAGGCAAGCACTCTACCACTGAGCCACCTTCCCAGCCCCAGTACTGAACTGTTTTGAAAAGACAAATTGTTAGCTGTTTTATTCTCTCTCATTAAGGACTTTAAATTTGGTATCCCTTTAAAAACAAGATCATCTTTGGGAACACATTTGGATACATATGATCTTAACAAATCAGTATCTACATTCTTCGAAAGGGGACTTTCCAGACTATCTGTGGCTGATAATCCAACTGATGGCTGATTTTTACAAGAATCTCTTGGCATATCATGAAGTAGGTCAGCGAATGAAAGCTCTTTTGGTAACTTACATGATTCTAGTTTCTTTTCAATTTTAGGTCTGTCAAGTTTTTTTTTTCCTATGAAGTGAATGGTTACTGGGAACAACTGAAGCATGATATGATCCATTCTTTGCTCCTAAGCTAGAAAAATCACATTTGCTATTCCAATCCAAATGATTCTCTGGTTGATGATAAGAACTTTGAACATTATCAGCTGAAGCTTCAAAGGAAGGAAATAAGACTCCTTACCTTTTGCTATCTTCCCTGTGGCTACTGCTTTCTCACTCTTGTCCTTCAACTTCTGTACATTATCTTGTTCCAGAACCATGGACAAGGCCTTCTGCACATCAAACTTGTTCTTCAAAATTGCTTCAACCAGTATTTCATCTGACACAGCATCTCCCAGTACCTCTCTCATGTGATCAAGGCATGAATAAAGACAAGCTTGGTCAATTTCACTTAGCTGGTGGTTCAAATAAGAATTGGGAGAGTCTTTCAGTTCTTCATAATCATATTCTACAGGTTTGTCACGTCGTGAGTAAATAAACTGAGCAGCTGTTGATGGAGAAATACAATAATCATCCTTTACAGACTGGCCATAGAGACCATCATCTTCAAAATCTTCATCATAGTTATAGCCCCGGACATTGGGATGTCGGGCCAAGGCGGCAGTCAGATCATGTGTCACAACCGCTTCCAAAACACGGAGCTCAGTTACTGATAGATTGCCAACTGCAGCCTGTAGACCACTTACACCAAGCTCAGTTCTTGTACTCTCATTATTCTTGCCTTGGCATACATGGGGAATGAGTTATTGAGGTCCGTGTTCTTTCCCCTTCCTCACATTCCTGATTAACCTTGAATTGCAGGTCCAATGTCAGCCAGACCAGGAGGCTGCTGAGGTTGGTCTCCTCTTAAACAGAAGCTTTCTTTGATCCTCTTAGTCAATGCCAAGAAATCCCAGATGGGTCCTAAAATTGTTGGAAATATGTTGAGAGATTGGGGTGTCACACATGTAGGAATAAAGACACCAACTTGAACTCAGCAAGACAAAATTCACTTAGACAGGAAGCCAAGTAAGCAAGTACTCTGAGGCAGAAGGCCATCCGTGTTTTATGCCTAATACTGCCCTTTGTTCTGATTAGTCAGAACTTAGTTTCACAATCTGTGCAATTAGCTAGTTTGAAAGTGTTTAAAAATTTATCTGAGCAATAACTAAAACCAAGATACCTGTAAAAAGCAAAAACTCAGAAAAACCATTCGTACTCACCTGAGTAAGAATTGAACCACACCTCCAAACCCTAGGAAAACAGTTCTTAAAACACAAGGTGTCTAAATTAAAATACCTTCTTGTAAGATGGAGGCTATCCTTAAAATAACAGTGCTTATGCCAAGCCACCTCTGTGATAGAAAAAATTCTAACTCCTAAATCAAGCAAGGCCCAGTGGGTACTGGGTAGTAATTCTCCAGCTTCCTCTTGAGAGCTGGATTCTACTCTCTGCTGGGAAAAGCATGTGTACCTTCAAGAAACCCAGAAAAGCCTTGTATTTGTCACAATGTGGTTCTGACATGGCTCAATGATACCAGTCTGAAGGAAACTCTCTATATGAAACGGAGAACACCTTGTCCCACATGCTTTAGTCTCTCCATGAACAGGTTTGATACCCCAGGCAGGCCTTCAACATCCCCCCTCATTCCACTAAGTTTTCACTTGTATGTGCTTTCAAGTAACTTCAGACTTCCCTCTTACAGTCCTGACCCTCCCTGAGATTATTCACAGTCTCTCAAGGTCTTAACATAGAAGATGCCTACCTGATTGAGGCTGAGGCTCTAATTCACTTATGGCTTTGAGCTGAACATGTAGATCAGTGAAAATGGGGTGTAAAGTAAAGGAATAAAGGATTAGCTCAGCAGATCACCTATAGCTTTCCCTGACCCAGTAAAGTACCTCAATGTCTGACAGCAGTTGCCCTGCCCGTGTGAGACAGGCTTTCAGGCTCTCACGGAGGACAGAGATGAAGAAGCCACTGACCATTGTGGCTACAGTTACTCCACTGGGATGGGCTCTCGACAGTAATTCTTCCCAAGTGAACTTTCTGCAGGTAATACATTGTCCCAAGTCAGTTTGTAATGTGGACAAGTGAAGCCACCCTTTAACTGGATAAGTAGCTTGAGGTGTGCGAGCTGCCATGGCAGGAACCACCTGTTGCAGGAGGGAGGCTTTGGCCCCAGTGCCTGTAGATAGTGATAAGTGGGGATGGGGTGGGGCCAGATAGCTGTGGTAATTTTATTTGTTTATGAATATAGCAAGTTAAAAAAGATAAGGGAGCTACATATGGTGGTACGTGCCTGAAATCTCAGCAGGTAAAATTATGAGTTCAAAGGAAACCTGGAACTCATAGCAAGAGTTTATCTTAAAAATTCCAAATAAATGACTTGGCACTGGTGGCTCATACCTGTGACCCTAGCTACTCAGAAGACTAAAATTCAAGAATTGCCATTTGAAGTCAGCCCAGGTAAAATAGTCAGTGAGATTGTTATCTCAACCAGCACAATGCAAAAATTGGAGGAATGGTTCAAGTGATAGAACCAGCCTTGAGGAAAAAGGCAAACAGACTACAAGTTCCTCTGAGTTCAAGCCTCAATACTGGTTTAAGAGAAAAAAGTCAACAAATTTAAACTTAAAAATATCTTGGCAAATTCCCACCAAAGTGAAATACTGGTTACAGCAAAAGGCAACATTGTTTTTGTTCAACAAGGCCAAAGTGCTGTTCTAAACAACTGACATATTGTTGGGTTTAACTCAGATAAAATCCCTGGGAGACATTCTTCATTTATTGAGCATCACCCACCCCAGAAGTTGTACTAGCTTCAAGCTTCAGCCAAAAGCATGGCAACAGGATGCATACTTGCTTGCGGGAAGCTTGAAGCCCAATAAAGAGGACTTTCAGAAAGGCAAAGAAAGTTGTTCTGGAAAGTTCACTTGTTTGCTCCAATCCTTGCTTTAGTCATTGATCAGGCTAGAATTATTTGTTGATACCTCTGTCTCATCCCCTACATGTTCATCCCATCGGCAGGCTGCTTCTTTCCTGCCTATTCCCAAAGAGCTTGGGCAGAGAATCACAGGCTGGGCATGTGCACACACACACTTGTCTTTCCTTTAAGGACAGAAAAGGTGCACCAGAAATCTGTGGGAGTGTGGAGGTGTTGAACTGCTTCAATGTTGTCATGAGCAACAAAATGTCCTCCCTTGTTTTCTGCTTTCCTAGTATCAGGTGGAAATTCACAGCACCACTTTGCATGTCCCTGAGAACTGACCATTGCCTAATTAGTGGATTTGTCTCTGAGATCTGCAAATACTTGGAAATGTTCTTGTTTGGGGAGTGTGTTTTTTTCTGGACTTCTTACAGTGGTAGGAGTATTCATTTTTGATTATTTATCTTTTCTTTAAATATGATTGTATAATATGACACAGAAACATAAAAGATGCAACAAATGCCCTGTTCACCTGTCCCAGCTTTTCTTCCTGTAGTTCTCTGGGTTCACAGGGGGAAAAAAATAAAACATTTACGGACAACCAATTTTTTGGTCCCCCTGCTCACTCTCCTGTGTGGCTTTTACTTGTTCAAAAAACTCTTTGCGGGGGGTGGGGGCGAGCAGCAGGAATTAGAAGGGAACAGGAGATGGTTCCTGCTTGCCTAGCAAAGACAAGGGCTCCAATATCTCTGGGCTTGTGTTGCTGAAGTGTGACAGGACCTGAAGTTAACCCCCAGTTCACATTAAAATTACCTGCCTATGACCATGTTCCCATCTGGTAGGAATTAGTGGACCCCTCAAAGAGTATTATTCAGCTTGGTAGATGATCTTAGTAATGAATGCTACTTTCTAGTGTATACCATAATAACCTTTCAATTTCAAGTAGAGTGTAAAACAGAAACAAATATTACATGTTATCCAAATTATATGGCATATTTTATGCCATTTTATGTGGGTGAAAGAAAACCTTTTTGTTTGTTGGTTAAAAACCAAACATCATGATATCTCAAGTTCTTTGATTACTCCTGTGCTCCACATAGCAGGCATATGTTCTTCCTGAATAAATACCAGTGATCTTTGACTATTCTGCTTTGGTTTTATTATTTGTTTGGTTTACAGTTTGAGAAACTGATGCAGAACATTGGACTTTTCCTCCCTTTGCTCTTACATTTGATCCTCTTTCAAACTAGGAACTGTGCTCAAGCTATCTGATTACCTCAGCAGCACATGAATACAGTTTCACTTTCACTGTTCCTCTTGCACAACACTTACTTGGCAGGTGCCTTATGTGATTTGATGCTCAGCTTTAAAAGCAGTGCTTTCCTGACAAGCCAGACAGAAGAACTCAGAGCCAAGGCAGCTGAGAACTTGTCTCCTGGCTACAGAGCCCACACAGAGGTGAGTTCTGTGGAGAAACATGGTCTTTGGTGTGCTATTTCCTTAAGGATCAGCAACAGGGAGCTAGGTCCATAGCAATTTTACTAGCTGGGGATGGGGCGGGGTAGGATGTCGGGGAGGGGTCAGAGGTTAAGGCAGCAGTGGAGTGGGAAGACATGGGAAGCTCCATGGTTGTGACCCTCCAGAGTGCTTCTGGTAGTTCATCTCCTAAGGCTCCTTCGGTCCCCAGGCAGCCATGGGGTGGTGAACCCTACCAAAGTATACACAGGAAGAGCTGCTCTTCCTCAGGCGTCCAGCAGGGACTGCATCAGAGAGCCCTGCATGGGACACCTACCCTCCTCTGCCTCAAGGGACCTTAATTCCCTCCTGGCACTGAGGGACCAAACCCTAGCCCCAAACCCCAGCAGAGTCACTGCTGGAGGGTGGCTCCTTCCAGCCCTCTCTTGCCACAACTTCACCATTACCCTCAGTTCTCAGATGTTTCCCCGAGGGTAGCTGCCTGGAATTGGAAAGGCTGAGAGCAAAAGTAGTCTTCACTAGTCCATTTGAAACCTCAGTGCACGGCTTGCCCATCTTCATGCTGTCCATGTGCACTAGTTCATGGATTCCCGGCAGCTGAGCTGCTTGGACTACTTTCTTTTCTGATCTCTTTATTTCAACATTTGTTGAATGTTACAAACAAAGAAAGGTTAAATGTTAGAAAGAACAGTAAGGTCTCAGCCTGGGGTCTATTCTGAACTGTTTAACTCCACTAAACAATTCACTGTGTTGAAGCTGAACATGTGAACATGAGGTCAATATGGTGGGCGCGGGGTGGGCAGAAAGAGGAGAGTGGGCAAATGCAGTCATAATATTCGATATTTATATGTGAAAATGGAACCATGTAAACTAAGGAGATGGGCAGGTTGAGGAGAAGCATGAAAGGGGTGTATTCGATCAAGATGATTGTCCTCACAAATTGACATGTGAAATTGAAACTCCTTTGTGCAAATTTTTAAAGATAATTTTTTTTTTAATGTGTAAGCGTTCCAAGAAGGGCCCCAGTGTTTGCTTTGTTATTTGGAGAAAATCAGTTTGGGATAATTTTAATTGTATCTTGGTCTAATTCAGGCAATAGCTTTTGGAAAACACTAATCCTGTATATCACCTTCTTCTCTTGTTTAATTTGGATTTGAAAGCGTCTATGCTCAGCATCTTAGTCCTGCACTGCAATCGGGCATGGGGGAGGAGAAAGAAGGAGAGATAAAGAGAAGTGAGGGGAACAAAGAGTAGGGGATGTGAGAAGGGGAAGGACAGGAAGAGATAGGGAGAAAAGTGAAGTGGCAGAGAGAGAATGATGGAAAGGGGAGAGGGAGAGAGAGGAAGTCAGGGGAATTATTGAGAAAAGATAGAGGAGGAGGAGGAACATGGGAAGAAAAATAAGAGGAGAGAAGAGAGAAAAAGGAAATAGAAAAAAAGGATAGGATGGGAAAGAGAGAAGAGAGAATGAAAGTGAGAGAGGGGAGGGCTGGGAAGGTGGCTCAGTGGTAGATCACTTGCCTTGCATGCCTGAGGACCTGGGTTCGATTCCTCAGCACCACATAAGCAAAAAGAAAAAAGCTGGAAGTGGTGCTGTGGCTCAAGTGGTAGAGCACTAGCCTTGAGCTGAAGAGCTGAGGGACAGCGCCCAGGCCCAGAGTTCAGGCCCCATGACCGGAACCCCCCCAAAAAAAGAAAGTGAGAGAGGGGAAGGAGAGGAGAGAAAATGGAAGGAGCGGTGGCTCACCCCTACAATCCTAGCTACTCAGGAGACTGAGATCTGAGGATCATGGTTCAAAGCCAGCCCGGGCAGGAAAGTCCATGAAACTCTTATCTTCAATAAACCACCAGAATACCAGAAGTGGCGCTGTAGCTCAAGTAGTAGAGCAGGAGGCTTGGGCTGAAGAGCTGAAGGACAGCGCTCAGGCCCAGAGTTCAAGCTCCACGACTGACAAAAAAAAAAAGAAAAAGGAAGGAAGGAGGAAAAGAGGGAAGTATAGAATAAAGAGAGAGAGAAAAAAGCAAAGACCAGGAAAGAAACGAATATTTACAATTTTATCAACCTTTTCCCAGTGCTTTTTGTTTGTTTGTTATGGGGATTAATCTCAGGGCCTGTCTCTGAGCTCTTTCACTCAAGGCTAATGCTCTACAAGTTTTGAGCCACAGAACCACTTCTAGTTTTCTGGGGGTTAATTGGAGGTAAGAGTCTCACAGACTTTACTGCTTAGCTGCCTTTGAACCACGATCATCAGATCTCAACCTCCTGACTAGCTAGAATTATAGGCATTAGCCAGCCACCAGCGTCCAGCTTCCCAGTGCTTTCTTAAAAGTCAAATCTGAAGGAAAGCAATCTTGAGTTTCTCTTGTGTCTAACACAGTAGTTGAAAGGTCATGGTTGACCCAATTTTTTTGTGTTCTCTAACAGCTACAGAAGAAAGGAAGTTTTACAGAGTAACTCTAAGAAGAAGCCAGTTGGAAGGCAGGTTTTTGGTTTGTTTTTTCTGACAGAAATGTTCTTCTTTAGCCTAGTTTCCTTGGTAGTTTATAATTTTCAGGACACAGTGACACTTATTAACTCACTGTCTCATTTGTTCACTGGAGGTAACAGGACAATCCTATGGCAAATTTTTTTTTAAAAAACATTATTGATTTCCTTAACCTGTACCATAGTGAATCAGGCAGGACTAGTTTTATTTATACTGTTGACAAGATAATGAAGGTGTACAGAGGCAGGTTCTCTTTCCAGGTCTGATAGTGAGTAAATGATGGGAACCCTGGGGTTTGACCCCTGGAAGACTGTCTTCTGAATCTTTGCTGTGACATCTCCGTTGGCTCTGGATTCTTGTTTCCCCATTCATCCTCCATGGGTCCTACTTGCTGCATCTTTCCACTGCTTCTCTCCTGCCTACTCTTCCTCCTCACAGGAAGCCCCTTCTTTATTCCCACGGATCCTGTCTCCTTCATATTCAAACTGACTCTTGGCTGGGAGCCATGGAACTGAATCTACCCAAAGCCAGTACCTTATTCATTTAGAATTTCACTCTTCTAGACCTGGTACATACTGAAGTTTATATAATAGGCAGGATTTGATATATCCCACAAATATTATGTAGTATTTAAATCCTTCAAAGCCAACTGTAGAATTTCTAATGACAAGAGGTAATAATGTGTGTGATACACTGCATAAAATCCTTTACTGAAAATATGGCTCTGAAATACGGGTACTCTAATTTGCATCATTTTATTAGAATTATTTTGGCTCATGTTATATTCTTTTTTTGTTGTTGTGGAAATACTGTTGTTGTGGAAACACAGAGGAGGCAACAATGCTTGGTATGTAATGAGTACATTTCTTATCAAGCATTGTTGCCTCCTCTGTGTTTCCCCTTCCCACCCCTTCCCATCTGCCCCCACCACACTCTCCCCTCCCCCCGCAACCCCTAGCCAAATTTGTAAAGTTCGTTTTAGACATAACGTCTTCTATATCTCATTGTTGCAATGAGTCCACCGTATCCCTATTTAAACAGTTTGTTTTTCCCTTTCCCTCCACAAATTATACCAACATCAAATACAGTGAAAACAGGGGTTATACCATGGAGAAGGGACATACAAAGCAGCAAAGAAAATATCTTATAAACATGTAAGAAACAGTTTCATGAAAAGAAAAAAAAAACAGAAAAAAATCCATTTGAATCCTTATCTTGGGGTTCATTCCCCTAACATCAACTTATCTGACCTTTTCTGCTTGACTCAGGCATATACTAGTAATTGCAAATAAGGGAAACCATGGGACCTATGTTTCTTTGGGTCTGGCTTACTTCACTTAATATAATTTTTTCCAAGTCTTTCCATTTCCTAACTAATGGGGCAATGTCATTCTTTCTGATGGAGGCATAGAATTCCATTGT